AGGTTAGCCAGAACAGGGGAGAGAGGAGAGCCCATGGCAACACCGAACGTCTGTGAGTAGAAACGACCCTCAAAGGAGAAGGAATTCGACTCCACACACAGACGAATCCTACCTGCAGAAGGCCCAGGACCTGTTAGGACCTGTTAGGTGACGCCTCCACCTATGCCCCCCTGACCAGTGACCCGCGGGAACGCATTGCTGCCACTTTCCACCGTCGTCTGAGAGAGCTTGCAGCCTGTTTCCCGGAGGCGAACCTTTATCAGAGGTTCAAGGTCGTTAACCCTCGCCTCCCTCATTTCTATGGGCTTCCTAAAACCCATAAGCCGGCCGTGCCTCTACGCCCCATCATCTCCTCCCGGGGATCGGTGACGCATCCTCTGGCGGCTTGGCTGGCTAAGTCTCTCACTCCCCTTCTCGGCACCTTCTCTCCTGTCACCTCGCCATTCACAGGACTTCATCTCTCGTGTCCGCGGTCCCGCCGGCGTCCATGCTGAGCCTGGATGTCGACTCCCTGTTCACCAAGGTCCCGCTTGATGACGTCCTCGCTTTCCTTCAGAGAAGCTCCCTGCCGAGGATCCTCGTCTTCCTCTTCCACTGAAGTCTTCCTCCAGCTGATTCGTCTGTGTGTGGAGTCGAATTCCTTCTCCTTTGAGGGTCGTTTCTACTCACAGACGTTCGGTTTCCATGGGCTCTCCTCTCTCCCCTGTTCTGGCTAACCTGTACATGGAGTTCTTCGAGTCGGAGCTTCTCCCTTCCATCTCCCCTCGTCCTTCCATGTGGCTGAGATATGTAGATGACGTTTTCGCTCTCTGGCCCCATGACCCTGCCCTGTTTCCTGATTTGTCCTCGCAGCTGAATTCTCTCTCTCCATCCATCCGCTTCAAGGTGGAATGGGAGGTGGACGACAAGCTCCCTTTCTTGGACACTCTTGTCCATCGCTCTGCTGATCATTTCTCCTTTTCTATATACAGGAAGCCTATGCACAGTGGTATGTACATACACTTCTTCTCGTACCATCCACTACATGTGAAGAGAGGGGTTGCCACCTCGCTGTTTCTCCGTGCCCTCCGCATCTGTGACCCCCAGTACCTGGATGGAGAGATCGACTTCCTGCGTCGTTCGTTCTCCAAACTGGGCTATCCTCGCCATGTCCTTGACGTCGCGTTATCCAGGGCGCGACGTACCTTCTACCATGACTCCCCTCCCAATGAGTCTCCTCACCTGCCTGTCCTCAGCCTGCCTTACACTGAGGAGATCTACTCCCTCCGTCGGCCCCTGCAGTCTCTCAACTGCAGACTCTCCCTTCGCCAGGTGAATACCCTCCGTCGAAACCTGGTTCACACCTGCCCTCCCTCTACCTCGAAGGTGGGCACCTATGCTGTTCCGTGTGCCTCCTGTGATAAGCAGTATTTTGGTGAAACAGGCGCCAGTCTTACTAAGCGTCTGTCTCAGCATAAGTACGCTGTATCCAGGGGACATACCAACAACGCCCTCTTCTGCCATCAGTGGGACACCTGGCCATCAGATGGACTGGAAAGCTGCCCGCATTCTCTTCCCTTCCGCTGATGTCCATGCCCGCAGACTGGTGGAATCTTCTCTCATTAAGCTGCTGCCCAATTTCAACTTGAACAGCGGTTTCTCTCCTGCCGACAGCCTCCTCGCTTCCCACATCCTTCGTCTCCTCCCTTATGCCGGTCACCCTCACATAGACCGCCTGATCCTTCGACCTGATCTGACCTCCCTTCGCTTCCGTTCTCCTGTCCTCTCCTGCCCCGTAGTTCCCGAGTGCTTCGCCTCCTTTCCTCTTATACCGCTTCGTCTCCCTTGCCTCTCAGACCCGAAGATGGAATCGAGGACGATTCCGAAACTGTTGTCTCACTTTCATCAATAAATCTAGTTTGTACATTGTGGTTTTCTTCCATATATATATAAGATATAGATTTATATATAATTATATATATATATACATATATATATATATATATATTATATATATATATATATATATATATATATATATTATATATATATATATATATATGCACACACACACACACACACACACACACACACACACACATATATATATATTATATATTATATATATATATATATATATATATATATATATATATATATATATATATATATATATATATATATATATATGTATGTATGTGTGTGTGCTTGTGTGCGTGCGTGTGTGTGTGCCTATATGTGTGCATATGTATATACATACCTCTATATTTGTAAATATGTATGATTTTATCATTAAAATTATTGTTATTATTGTCATCATTTTCAGCATCATCATTACCGTTACTATTATTCTAATTTTGTTAATATTACCCCTATCATTATTATTATCATTATTGTAATTGCTGTCATCATCATTACTGTCAATATTGTTATTGGCAATATCATTATTACTATCATTATTATTAGCATTATCATTATGATTAGCATGTTCATTATTATTCTTATAATAAAAATCTTTATT